GTGGAGCAAGGACCCAACATGGAGGCCCTTCCCCCACCCTGCAGGCCCCAGCCTGGGGGTTCTTCCTGGACCCTGCAGGCCCAACATAAGACCTGGTTGAAGAAGGCTCTAGGAATTACTTGGTGCCTTGTCAGATGAATAAGCAGGATTGCCTCCTTACCACAGAAGGACAGTTGAGGGTCTTGGGGACAAGGTAGGAATGAGAATACGGCTACCCTGTGTTTGTTGTTTATTGAGCACCTACTATGTGCCCGTGCTCTGTCAGGCCTTCGGCTGTAGGATCTCCTTTAACCTTAGCAACAACCCCATGACATGCCACGTAAACTAAACCCATTGCTGTCAAGTCAGTCCCGGCGACCCCACCTGATACAGAGTAGAGCTGCACTCCATAGGGGTTTCTTGACTGTAATCTTAACAGAAGCAGTTCACTAGGCCTTTCTTCCGCAGAGCTGGTCTCTGGGTTCGAACCACCAACCTTCAGGCTAATAGTCAAGGCAAAACGCTTGCACCACCCGGGGACCTCCTTATGAGGTAGGCGCTACTATGAGCCCCTTTTTCAGAAGGAGAAACTGAGGCTCAGAAAGGTTAGTGACTTGCTCAAGGCACAGAGCCAAAAAGTAGGGGCTCCAGGACCAGAACCCCAGGTGTGTCTGGCTTCAGCGGACACAGAGGAACAATGGGGGCACCCTGGAGGACAGCAGCCAGGTCCGGCTTCTCTGGGGACGCAGCAGAGAGCCCAAGCCTTGGACACACGCGCCCTGCTGGGTCTTTGTGCGGAGCTGGGCTCCGCTGACGGCTGCTGTCCATGACCCTGTGCAGCCCTCCACCCCGCTACCGCTGCTCCTCTGATCTTCGCCCCCGACCCAGAACACATAACTATCCACATTCGGTGCCTTCAGACGTTTTCACTCCCCTGCCGTGAATTCACAGAGAGAATCTGAAAATAAAATCCAGGCTGCTTGGTGGAAAGGAGACTTGGGTTTTGCCAACACAATGTGCAGTAAAAATATCTCTCTTTTAAAAGACGGAGAGAGAAATTTAAAGACTCGAGATCAGTAACATGTAATTATCATCTGGTTTGGGCGGAGAGTTCTAATAGTTTCCAGAAAAACATGAGCCATGAAAAGAGAGAGCATTTTCCAAGGCAAAAAGATTTGGGCTCCAGCAGGCGGGGCGTCATCTTGGAGCTGCGGCAGCCTTTGAAGGTCCTTTCCCAAGGAGACGGAGCAGGCATCCACACCGGCCTGCCTTCCTCTTCCCCTTCGCCTTCCACACTGGCCCGGAGACTGACAGCGGAGAAACTGCCCTTGAACTCAGCCTCCTGGGACTCAGCACAGCACCTGCTCAACCGACAGCTTCCAGTGAACAGACACATGTAAGACCACCGAGGGGGCAGCCTGGCTCCTTGCCTGGGGGGACCCTCCCAGTGGCAGGAACAGCTAGGTGTCCACAGTATCTGCTCTCCTCTAGTTTACGGTAATGTAGTTGTTGCTGATTCCCACGCACAGCAACCCTATATGACAGAGTGGAACTGCCCCATAGGGTTTTCTAGGCTATAATCTTTACGGAGCAGATCGCCAGGTCTTTTCTCCTGTCGAGCTGACGGTGGGTTCTAACAGCTAACCTTTCAGTTAGCAGCTCAGTGCTTAACCGTTGCACAAACAGGGCTCCTTTTTATATTCATAGAACTCCCAATTGTACCTGGCAGTCCCCGGATGGTGCAAACAGTTAAAGCACTCAGCTACTAACTGAGAAGTTGGAGGCTCGAGTTCACCCAGAGGCACCTTGGAAGAAAAGCTTGGCGATCTACTTCTGAAAAATCAGCCATTGAAAACCCTATGGAGCACAATTCTACCCTGACACACACGGGGTCGTCACAAGCCATAATTGACTCGATGGCAACTGGTCTTTAATTTCACCGGGGCTCATGGCGACCCACAATGAAAGCCATCCCTCCTGACAGGTGGGGCCAGGAGACTAAACTCTGGACAAGGAGATGTCAGGGAAATGTGAGTGCAACTTCCAAGAAGTGATCTTAAAGGGGAGCTACCTGCCCTTCTTCCCTTTCCTCCTTCCCACTGGCAGGAATGCAGACGTGATGGCTGGGGCTTGAGCAGCCATTCTAGAACATAAGGCAAGCCTGGGAGCGGAGGCCACAGGCTGCAGAGCAACAAGAAAGAAGGCTCCTGGGTCCTGACCCCAGAGTGTGTCGCACCAAACCTGGACCGCCTGCCGGACTGTTACGGAAGAAAGAAAGAAGCATCTGTATTGTTTAGTTTCGAGACAATCACTCACAGTCATTATTATCTTGAACATGTCTTAAATCAAGAGGAGAGATACAAGATGATGAAGTGTTTAAGCACGAGGATTGCGCTGAGTGCCTGTGAGATGCCCACAGCAGATCCTGGGCTTCCCCTCCCCAAGTGCCGAGCAAGGAAGCTAGCAGAAGGTGGAACCCACCACGTAAATGGTTTTCTCCCCCTCTCTCCTTTTAAAAAATCTACTTACTTCTTATTCTTTAATTTAATTTCTTTTCTGCTCAGTGCCTGAAGTTATTTTGTGCAGACACATCACGTCACATTTTCTAACTTCTGCAAATTTTTCGAGCACATACCACATGCTGGAAAGCAATGCTTTGTCCTGTTACTGTCTCCATTTTATAGGTACGGAAGCCGAGGTTCAGAGAGGTGGCCTCACGCAGCTGCACTCCAACCCTGTGCTGGGGAGGAAGCCAGACAGAGCTCTTGTCCAGACGGCTCCCCTGGGGTACTGAGCCTTCCAAGCTCCTAGGAGCAGCTCCAGGGGCCGTGGGGACAGGAAGAGACCTTCCAAACTCAGGCCAGATGGCCGCCCATGAAGGGCGCCAGCCTCCCCCACTGCAGCACAGCGGTCTTTCTAGAAGCAAAGCTGACCCTCCATTGGGGACCTGGAGGGGCAGGGACAGGCCCTGGGTCTCCGCACTGGAAGGTTAGGACCAGGCAGGGACCGAGCCAAGGGGCCTAGGAAGAGCCGCTAGGGAGGAGGGAGAACTCAGGGGTGGTACCTGGAGGCCAGAGGAGAGAGGACTTCCTGAGGGGTAGTGGTCGCCGAGAGGCCGGGTCCGATGAGGGCTGAGAACCCCTTGAGAAGTTTAGCCAGAGAACTGGGATCTTGACTCCGTCAGACAGAGAAGGAATAATGGATCAACACATGTGGGGCCAGGAAGAGTGAAGAACGGATGATGGACGGGGGCCAGACGGTGGGCAGGGTTGGGTCCACCCCTCAGGGGGTCTTCTTCCCCAAATCAGAGGGTCCAGGAGCGAGGGTGCCAGAGCCCAGGTTGATGAGCGGGCGCCACCTGGTGGTCAGTACCGGCACTGCGCCTTCCCCGCTGCCCGCGCTGCCTTTGGGGGCTGTGTCCAAGACCCTCCCAAGGGCGCCTCTGTGGCCGCCCTGAGTACCCCTAACCACCCGCACTTAAAGATTCACATTATCATCATGTGGATAGTGCTCGTTTTCAGTTTTACATAAACGAGAACTACGCGTCGTTGTGGTTCGCCATTTTTATGGACCTGGCCCACACTTGCGGGCTCTCCAGCTCGGCTACTACAAAGTTACCTGGGAGCCGAAAACTCCGAGGCTTGGGTCCCACCCTGCAGGTGCGGATTTAATGGTCTGGGAGGGGCTGGCACCGCGATTTTTTAAAGCTCCCCAGCCAATTCTAACCTGCAGCCAGGACTGAGAACCACTCAGATTAGACGGGTGCCTCCTGCCTGCTCCACAAAGACATATTCAAGGGAGCCTCGAGACCCCTCCATCCACTCTCTGCCCCTGAGCCCCTCCCTAGGTAGCACTGCTGGGGGAAGGGGTCCCCCATGACAGCGTGGACACCTGCAAACCCCCCCAGCCCTCTGCTGAGCTCTTGACCCTTTGGTTGGGTGGCCCCCTCCAGGCCCCTTCACCTCTCTGGGACTCGGTTTCCCCTGGTGTAGCCTGGAAGAGAACAGTGGCGCTGAACTGCTTTGGGGTCACTGACCCCTCGGAGAATTTATGAAAGTCCCTTTTCCAGAGAAATATATGAAGTTATGATCACAGAAGTTGGTGGGGGCGGGGTGCAGCTCTGGTATCAGACTGCCAGTGGGTTAACCCATCCGTTCTGGCCAGGGCCCGTAAGGTGAGCACTTTTTCTTCCTTTCTCTCTCTCTTTTTTTTATGGTGGTGAAAATACCAACACAACAACTTCCACATTTACAATTCAATGGGAGGCAGGTACTTTCATTCACTTCACTTCACAGACAAGGAAACCGAGGCACAGAGAGGTTAAGCAACATGCCCCAGGTCACACAGCCAGTGGGTGTGGCTCCAGGCTCGCATTTCTAACCACTGAGATGTTAACCTCTGGGCCTGTTTGTGAAATAGCTGCAGGAATGTGTTTTCTAATCTGTTATTCTGACATCTCTCAGCCGGCTCTGTCGTGAGGTGGGGAGGCTGATGTGGTCTGTGGGCTGAGAGTGGTTCATCCTAGACGTCTGGACTTGAGAGACCAGGAAACACAGTCAGAAAACACATGGCAGTAGCAGTAAGGCTGCCTCTGCTGTCCATTCTCTGAGACTTACCTGCCCCAGCCTCAGTTTCTCCTCTGAGGAAAGAAGACAATATCGGCCTGGGCCCCAGAGTGAGCTGGAGGGGCACACGAGGCTGGGAACGCATAGTAGGTGCTCACTGAAAGCAGCGGTCACTTGGACGGGCACCTGAACGACGGGGCACCTGCCCCTACCCGAGCGTCTCCTCTGTGCTTTGGGGTCTGGGGTGGGCTCCCTGGACTGCTGGGGTCAGGCCAAGCCCACCCTTCCCACCAACAGCCAGTCTGGGGACCCCACTCCGTCCTGCTGATCAATCCTTGACTTTCGATTTTGTTTCTTTCAAAATCCACAAAGAGAGGTTTCATTTTCTGTTTCTGCAGAAAGCTCATCAGGTTTGGCTGGAGGGAAACCGGAGAGACAAGGTCTGTTTCCGGGATGTAAGCAGCTGACATCTGTCGGCCAGAGGTGACACCCCTTCTCTCATGAGAATAGAACTTTGGGAAGCACCGGGCTCACTCACGAAAGGACCCGCAGCCTCAACCCGGCCCACACCAGCCAGGCCACAGTGCCGGGAGCCCGGGCCCACCGTTCAGCATGGCCGAGGCCCCTATTGACCCAGGCAAAAAAGGTACAGTAACTTCTTCCTTCCAAAAAAGCCTAAGGGTTCAGGGTGGCTATGAGCCTCTCTTCCGGGTTCCCTTCCTGGGCCCAGATAACAGCAGTGAGGACAGCAACACCCTAAACAACAGCAGCAAGAGGAAGAAGGGAGTTTATTTTGAGAGCTGACTGTGTGCTGGGCACCTCAGGCTAAGCTTGAAAACTGCTCTTCATACTCATTTTGAGAGACAATGATGTTGCTTTGATAAGATGGGGATGTGGATGCAAGTGCTCCCTCCCACCCCTGCGTTTCCTTCTTGCCTCAGATAACATTTTACTTCTGGAAAAACAAGAAGGCCTAGAGATGAATGAATTCTGTGCTCAGGTACGTGCTAAGCGCCGTGGTCTGTGCGTGGAGGTGCCTTGTGGTGTTGGCTATTTGAATCCTCACCACAATCTTTGAAGTAGGCGCTGTTATTATCCCCGTTTCACAGACGGGGAAACCGAGGCACTGAGTGGTCACACAGCTAGTAAGTGGCTGAGACCTGGGAAAGCAGTCACCACAGGAGCTGAAGGAGGAAGAGAGGGTGCATGGGAGGGGGCAGTGGAGGGCAGGGCCCCGGCAGGCACGGGCGAGGGCACTTGGTAAAGGCTGTTCTCACTTTTTTCTTCTCTGGCTGATTTCCCCTCCATGACAGCTGGTCGCTTACACTCGGTCCGTTTTCAGGCACACCAGCTGGAACCCACAGGCCTGGGCCACCCAGCCCTCAGACTTCTACTTCACTGACTCTCAGGGCCCACCTCTCCTTTGGGGTCAGGGGATTCAGGAGGAGACGGGGGAAGAGGTGAAGTCTAGCCAACCTCCTGAGCAGGCGTTGCAAGAAACAAAACCCTTTTCTAAATCAGGCAAAGACCAGGCGTGTAGCCAGTTGGATAGGGACTCCCCTGCCCGCTGCAGGTGTAATTTGGGGTGAAGGGGCGGCACCCCCGGGTCTGCTACATGCTCTTCCCTTGACCACAAGGGGATCCTCCACTTATCTTCTCCCCCAGTGAGTTCTGCCCCAGTGAGCCAGGGTACCTATGGGAGCCCCATCAGGAAAGAAAAACCTAGAAAGCAAAGGGGTGGGCCACTGCCCCGGAAAGGGCCTGCTTTGAGCCTCCCTTGGGGATCTCGGGGGTGAGGCACTTCCTGGAGATAGGAGGGCCTCCGCCCCCTGAGGCCTCTCCCCACCTGGCGGCTCCTGGGCACGCCTGTGCCAACTCTGCCCAGCACTTGGACTTACTCCTCTGGCTGTGGCTCCCTGCAGAAAAGCCGGTTTTGACATTGGATAGCCTACCCTGGGGAGAAGCAGTGGTGTTGGGGTGGCCTGCCCAGGGCTCCTTCAGCTCAAGGTGGGAGAACAGAATCTTTGCTGGCTGGTGTGGGGTGAGCCACCCACATCCCCTCCTAGGTCAGCTGGGCAGGCGGCCGTCCTGGTAGAGGCACACCCACTCACCCACTCAGTCCCCTGCTCACCCACTGACACACTCGCTCACCAGTCACCCACCCAGTCATTCACTTACCCACTCACACCCACTCACCCACCTACCCACTCACCACC